GACTCCTCCTGCTTAGGGTACTCACCCCACCTCCCGGGGCTAACCCGACTCCTCCTGCTTAGGGTACTCACCCCACCTCCCCGGGCTAACCCGACTCCTCCTGCTTAGGGTACTCACCCCACCTCCCGGGGCTAACCTGACTCCCCTTTACTGTTTTAGCTTCCGATTACTGCTCTCCAATACTCCAAGGCTAGGTCAGCTGTCCCCGTGCTGCATGGAGTATGACCCTGTGTGTCAGCGTTTCCATCTCTCACTACCCTGAGTGTTTCTCTTTACCTCCAACGGAACTATAAGCTTTCTGAAAACAAGTCCTCACTTTACCCTCCACATACTGTCAGAACTTACTACACCATCTATGACATCTGGCAGACTGACACTGTACACACTGCACCTGTTTAATGAATGCACGGATAAAATCTCACGTAATACTTGAAACAGAACTGCACATGCCATTTTGCAGACCAAGAAACAGATCTGACTTCAAATCTGCATGGCTCAAGAAGACACACCATTCCACCCTATCATATTTAGAAAGACTATCCAAAATATAGTGATGTTTTAGCATGAAAGAAAAAATGCCACTTATAATTAAAAAAAGAGAAAAAAATAGAAAATCCAATTAAATGTAAAAAAATCCCAGAAACCAAAAACTTACGATTAAAACTCATAAGCACTGAGATTTTTATTAGGGTGAACCACCATCCCCGTTTGTCTAGGGACACAAGACTTTCAATGTTAAAACAGATTAACAGCTGAGCATGGTGGCGCACACCTGTAATCCCAGCACTCGGGAGGCTGAGGCAGGAGGGTCACCGCAAGTTCAGGGCCAGCCTGGGATACACAGTGAGTTCAAGGCCAGTGTGAACTGCATAGCGAGATCCTGTCTCAAAACTCAAAACAAACTAACAAAAAAACAGGTGAACAACATGGCAAACCAAGGCAAGTTGGTACCTTTAATTTTTTATATATATGCTCACATTTACATAAAACACAAAATTCCATTCTTAAACACTTTATAATGAAACATGTAAGGCAGGGCAGGCTGTGGACATGTGATGTTTTTGGGTCACACACATCCACACTCCAACCTCGGCAGCACTCTTGACTGCTGAGGAGTCACCTGGACTCTGACCATTAAAAACGCATTTTACCGCAGTGCCGCGAAACTCTTCACTGCGACAACACTCGCCCACGCTCGAGCGCGCGGGAAAGCCTCACCTGCGCCGCCGCCTCCACCCCCGTCATCTGGTACCGCTTCATCCGCTCGAACACCGCGTGGTCCGCGCAGCCCCCCTGGGGCCCGTACTTGTGAGGGTAGTCTGCGGCACAAAGAAGACACTGTCAGTTCCACAGTCAGACGTCCCCCGTTACCTCCCCATGGGGAGCCGAAGTCAGGACTGAGGGACGCCGCCCGTGCTCCCGGAACGCCTAGAGACACTGCTCACTTCACGTCTAAGACGGGGCCGCTCCCTCCGCCGGTAAAACCCACTGGTCCCTGGCCTTCTGTCCTGCGGATGATTTGTGATCCCAAACCAGGGCAGTAACCACTTCTACCCTGCACCTAACTCTCAGCCCCCCGCCTCTGGCTACATGGAGCACCTCAGTCTCCAGCTCACCCCTTCTGGAACTCGCAGCTCTCCCTTCAGACACCACAGGGCACCACGCCTCCCCCTCAACCCCAGCTCGGCTCTCCGTGCGGGCCTGGACTCGTCCTGTGACAGCACCGGCCCCACTGAGAAGGGAGCGAGAAGCATGCACGCGCAGTGACAAAAGGGGGCTGCACTTACGCTCACTCAGTGTGTGAGCCACGTGAATTCTTCACAAATTAGAAACTTTTACCGTGTATTTCCACTGCAATTAAAGTGATTAATTTATCCTGAATTAGTTCTACTTCTAACAGTTCAACTTAGTTGTCATTTCAGTGCTTACTCCAAGCCAGGCCAGGTGGTGCCTGCCTGTAATCCCAGCACTCCAGGGAGCTGAGGCAGGAAGATCACAGATTCCAGGCCAGCCTGAAGCCCTTGAGCAGTTGAGGGTAGGGTTCCAATGGGACCTGACCCCCAGCTCCCAGCCCTGCTTGCCAGCAAGGGGCTATTCTCAGCAGGGCCTCAGCTCAGTCCTACAGCTGTCACCACAGGCACACGATGCTCAGAGGAGGTAAGACCAGACAAAAACTTCACAGGCACCAGGGCAGCTAGAGCCACCCGAACACTTACACCAGACACTTCGAGGACTGTCCGACGAGATGCAGGATAGCCAGAGGACTTCGGCCACAGATGTTCACTGAAATCCTCCTGCCCAGTGTTCCTGCCTTCTTTCTACCCCTATGGAGTGGCCCACTTCGCTCTGTTCCCTGCAGACGGCCTTTACGCCCTCTGTCTGCCTGCACCCAGGTATTAAACCATACGCCATGTTGCTTCCACAAAAGTCTGTTGTTTGTTCACTCACCCGCATTCGTTACAGTGAGGCTCTATCTCAAAATAAAAAATTTAAAAAGGGACAGGGATGTAGGTCAGTCGACAGCCCTGGGTTCAATCCCCAGTAAGACATAAAATAAAACAAAACAAAACAAAACAAAATAAAATAAAATAAAAATCTATTCCAGTCTCACAAAGTTCTACATCTTTCTTATTAAATTCTGCCTTAGGGCTGGGGATTTAGCTCAGCGGCACAGCGCCTGCCTAGCAAGCGCAAGGTCGTGAGTTCGATTCCTGGTACCAGAGAAAAACCTAAATAAATAAATAAATAAATAAATTCTGCCTTAGCCCATAAATGTATTCTATCATCCGGTACAGTAATCCCAATTAAAAAAACTGACAAGTCAAAATGCCAAGACATGAGTATGAGAGGAAGCACCAGGAACCCTTCAGGAGCTTGTAAGTATAATACACTGAAGTGTAACTATGAACACTATGAGCAATTGCTTAGGAAACTCTAGAACCCAAGGGGACACTACTGTAAACTGTTCCATTGAAAATTTGGTTAAATACTACAGAAGAAATTTAAACCGGCAGGTAAGTGCTAGGGGTCTGAGTAACCTACTTACAATGACAAAACAGTTCTCATTTGAACTTTAGTTTTTATAAAAAAGAGCTGTAAAGGAAAATCAATAAATGTGAAAAGAAAGACAGTGAAGATTACCATTTTGCAACGGCGCGTGTCTAAACTGACTCAGGCTCGGGTGATCAGCAGGTGCTGGAGCGCTCTGGTCCACGGTGTGCGGGACACGATGCTCTGAGCATCACCCATCGGGGGCAATAAGGTTAGTACCAGGTCCTGCCTTCCACCACCAACAGGGAAGGGCCCAGGGTCACGGCACCAGAAATGATGAAGACATGATATACACACTCACAAATGCCCTGAAACAAAGGTAACACTATACACTGCAAACACACACTAAGTGTAAAATAAAAGTGCAGCTTCATTTATGCAATATTGCTGCCAAATATGGCAACTGATTCTAACCAGGTCAACATGCAGACACACCAAAAAGGAAGGACACTATCCATTACTGACTGGGACCAGGACGCTGAGCGAAATAAGTAAGACACACACGCTTAAACGTCACAGTTTCTCTTACACGAGAAACCCCAGGTGTGAAAGGCTTGAGGAGTAAAATGAGAAATGGATACTGGGAAACAGGGTGCAGCTTCTGCGGATGCAAAGGGCACTGAGAGACGAGGGAGGGGGAGTGGGGGGGACACAGAAAGAATGAAGACGTGTTCTGCACCCACACCAACTTCCCACGGTGACAGCAATCCTTAGGTGCCGCAACACGCACTAATTAGGGTAAAAATTTAGCACAGCATGGTGGCACACACCTGTAATCCCAGCACTTGGGAGGCTGAGGCAGGAGGATCACACTGAGTTTAAGGCCAGCATAGACCACATAAGTGAGTTCAAGGCCAGCATGGACTACATAGTGAGACTGTTTCAAAAACAATTTTTTTAAAACAACGTGTGTCTCAAGAACTGGAGGTGGGGAGTCTGTCAGAAATTAGACACTAAAAAAGATGTAATAAATGCATTTAGACAACTAGAGAAACTTCATAGACTTTATATAATTTTATAGATATATTAAATTATACTGTTGAATTAATGATAGTTTTAGGACTGAAATACTACTGTGACTATTTGGGAAAATGTCATGGATGAGATCAATTTATATTTTCAAAAATTTGGCAAGGAAATCTCATGATGTCTGTAACTTACTTCCAAAAATGGTTCCCCAAAACGGTATACGGGGGATGGGTGCAACATGCTGCAAACCAGCACACCTGGCCAGAAGAGACGTGTGCTCACTGCATAGTCACTCTAACTTTCTGTAGCTTTGAAATTGTCAACATAAATTTGGATCTAAAAGGCTGTAATAGCTGAGAAACAAGTTCAAATACGTTTGAAATGGAAAACTAACACCACTACAGTGCTGCTGAGAAAAATCTGATATATTCATGGCTTTACTCCTGCACAGGCTGGCTTTGGTGAAGTGAAAACACACACCACCCAATACATCCTCATGAGATCTGAGCGTAGGTTGGGAAGTTCTACGGGACAGCACGCCAAGATTTTCAGCTCTCACCTTTTTGGGGAGATCTGGGTACAATCGTCACAGCCTTCTTCTGCCGCTCACTTCAACCTGAAAATGTCCCCGCGGGCCTTGCCCAGCCTCCAGCAGAACCCAGCACGCCCGGACCACCAAACCACCAGCGCGGCTGCCCCTCCCTGTACAGAACGCTCGATTCAATCAACAAAAGAAGACTTTACGGCGAACTCACAAACACGCACACACGCGCACACCCGTGCATGCACACTCACAAGTTCCTGGCTCAGTTCAGACTCGCTCTTGGAATTTTGCCAGTTACTTTATGTACTGTACAATGCCAAATCCCTGGTGTGGTATTAGTAACTTATACTTCCACTGTTTCGAGATCTTCTGCCCCAATACTGGGATAGTCCAGTCTACAATAACTAAAGACCCAGCACATTCTCTAACTACTTCTCCCCTGAATCAGAGATAAGAAAATGATTCCTTAGGAGACAACGGTGTGTGAGAGCCAATACTACTCACGTAGACAGCTTAGACATAAACATTTACAGGAGTCAGGGCTGGGCCCTCAGCACAGGACACTGGGCCAGAGCCCGGACTTCGCCCACACACTCCCCCGAAGGATCAGCAGCAGGGACCGATACTCTCCCTCAGCAGGCATCCAGCACCCTGGGACGCGGGACCGAACCTCCCTGGCCCGCCCCTTGCAGCCAAGGCCCTGTCCGTCCCAGGGGCGCTTGCCCGCACCTGCTCGCCCGTCTGGCCCCCACTGAATCAGTGCTACTCACGCTCCTGTACTCCTGCAGTCCCACCGGCCCCCACAGTCTCGTCCCACCCACACCCACCTGTGACTCTCCACCTTCTTAGTTGACTATAGTTTTGTCCCACCTTGAACCTACCTCACCTAGTGGCTCTGCTCAAAACACACCCCGGAGAAGTGGGGTTGGTGGGCCCCCCCTTTCCGGGACCCCTTCTGTCCCTCTCAGACAGAAGCTTTCTTTCACTCAATAAATTCTCCCTACTCTTAACCTCCACTTCCTAGAATTTTCCTTGATTTTAGAGAACATGAACTGGGCGTTTCGGACATCGGGGGCTGGGAGTCATGCTATTTCCTTTGTATCACTTGGAGGTCCATGGAGCATCCCTAGGACTGGACAGCAAATGAGACTGTGCAGGAGGTCTCACACTCGATGGGGGACTACAAATGGACCATTTCCGGTTGGTTCTTTTTTTCTTTAAAGACTGGGTCTCCTGTGCAGTTCAGGCTGGTCTTGAGTTCACTATATAGCCCAGGCTGGCCTGAAACTCAGTGATCTTCCTGCCTCAGCCTCCCAAGTGCTGGGATTACAGGCCACTGAAAGTCTTTTGTCAAAACATTAAAACTTTTCAATTCCAAGGGAATATGTAAAATCAGTCTTTAGTACAGTGTGATTTAAAACAGCAATACCAAGACTGGTGTTTTAAAAGAATCAGTATTTTACTTCTTTGTAAATTATATGTAACATGTTACAAATTAAAGATACAAATTCCTTTTAAGAACTTGACATTTAGGTTAAATAAAAAATTTTCCAAAGCAACAAAACACTATTTATATATGCTTCAAACACTGTCAGCGCCAACCTCTCGCAGTAGAAAAAAGGCAAGTATAAAACTTTTCCCATACACTTCCAAAACTTCTAAAAGAGCCCCTTTTCCCTAGTTACCACATTAACTACAAAAATGGACAATGACATTTTCTCTCTAAAATTACTGACAATATAATCCTCATTTCTA